TAAAGTTTTAAGGACTAAATTATAATTTTTATAAATCAATGATCAAAATAAAATTTGATCATCTTCAACCACAAACCTTTTTTTTTTTTATATATATATATATAGAATGTTCCAGCAAAGGTTTCTTCACAACTCATAAGATTACTTACTAAAAATATATTAATTAATTAAATTCAATCTCAAATAATTATTCTTAATAATCCACTCAAATCAACCAATTTAACCATTACCCATAACAATCATCAATCAATTTTAAGAACAAAAAATTTAAATCTTTAGAAACCCCTATAAAATCAACATCATATTTATCAATCATATCACAACTCATTTTTACTTTAACACTTAATTCCTTTATCATCTATCTCTCAACTTTTTTTTTTTCATTTTTTGCTCCATCTCTTTCTATTCCTCTCACTTATGGTTTTCTCTTTGTAATCTAGATCTTTTTATTTTTTGTTTGACCTTACACCCACACATGTATAAGATTATCATACCCCTAATCATTGATACTTATAATAATGCGCGCATGGGCACTATTGTATTTTCAAATCATTTTTTACTTCACATGTATTTTTATCACAATTTATAAAAAGACTGCAATGTCCTTCATAAATATTTATATTTTTATTTTTATTAAATTCTAGTTTGTTGGTATTTTCGTGTAATCTTCTTAAATTTTAATTGACCTAAAAATTCAATCCAAGGTAAAATAATATGTCAAAAAACCACTCTTAAATGCATAGCTTAATTAAATAGTTGGATTAAGAAATATAATTGATATTGTAAAACTAGTCATTGAATAATTTTTTGTCAAAAATCCAAAATTTGTGTACCATTTCATTTACTCACATCATCGTGATTTTTAATATAATTCATTGATGACTCCTATTCATAACCATCATAAAAATTTACTTAGAGTTTTCACTATTTTTTTGTTAAAATAGCATGATTGTACACGGGGCTTATATCAACAATCAATATTTTCACATGTAAAATCATAATTTTTTTTTTTAGATTGCCACTCTATTATTATAATTATTATATCACCTTTTTTTATACCAATGTATAAATTTTTTTCCTTGGATAATTATTTCACTCGATTAAGGAATTTACGCTATTTGTCACTAGGTTGAGATATATTTCGTGTATCAATTTATTACTTTATTTTGTATGAAATTTAAGTTAAATTTATAAATTTTTATCATTTCCATGTATAACAATTTTTCTTCTTAACTATCATTTCTCAAATAATTTTTTTTATCACTTCTAGCATGGATTTACTAGTTTTAGAACAAGAGTTTACATATAAAATCTATTTTATTGACATAAGTTAGTTAATGGGTGCAATTATTAAAATCGAATTGCATTGATAATCATTCAATTTAATTCAAAAGCATCAAATTTTTTCTTTATAATCGTACCACTATAAAGTGTTGTTTCAAATATGTGTGTGAGCACTTAAGGTGTTAGCCAAGCGGTAGAAGAGACTTGTTCCTTTCATTTGCACCCGAGTTTAAGCTTTATTGTGCATGTCTGTCATCCCCGTGGTGCCTTACATGCTCATTTAGCTTGCAGGATGTTAAATAAATCATAAAATTAATCGTAATACGTGTAAACTAATTCAGACATCCACATAAATAAAAAAAATATTTATGTATCGACATATGCACGAATACCTTGAAGGATGTGAGTCTCTCCTCTCTAAACCAATTAATTTATTCTATTATTTCATCTCTACAACCTATATATTAACTGATAATATATAAAAAAAACTTGTGGCCCAGTTATTGCCAAGGCCACCCGAGGCCTAAGCAAGCCTCACATGGCTTAGTTTTTACCCAAACAATCATTTTTTTCTCCCTCCCTCTCTCTTTTTTTTTTTTTATAATATAGTTTATGTCTTATTTTGTTTTGGGCTGTCGCTACACATGCTATAACTTTATTTATACTTCAACTATAATTATCACATGTGTATACATGCTATGACTTCATTTATATTTCAAGTAGAATCGTCACAGAATTGTCACATGCATAGATGATTTATACATCACTTTACCATATAATTAGTCAAATGTTTATTATAAAATAAGCTATATATTTCCAAGTTTAACGGAGAAGAGCGGGATTTTTCCATCTCAACATGAAAAAAAAAAGTTTCTTTGTATTTTTTTTTTATATATATAATATCTACAGATAACACCTTCTCCCCAACCTATTATTGTCCATGAAAAAAAGCTCATTCCCAGTGAAGCTTTTTCTAGCTTCGGTAATTGGAGAAAATCAATTTATTAAAATGACAAGAATAGCCCTCAAGTTCAAAAGGATAACGGATAGCAGGACTGCATCTAGAACACTCAACAATCAGAACTGACGGCGTCCACAAAATGGAATTGAAACACCTGTTTTGACTGCAACGTGCCTTGTCGAGTGGTCCGCATTTGACTGAAGAAGTTCATAAACTATGGGTGCGATTTAAATAAAATAATTTAAATACTTGAGTTGAAAATTCCCTGGGTAATTATATTATTATTATACATGTACTGAAAAAATAGTTTTTTTAATCTACAAATGTCGTAATCATAAATTGTTTTTAAATTTTGTAGGTCAAGCTATAACTTTTAGGTTTTTTTTAGGAAAAAAATATTTTTTATATATTTTTTTATACTATATATTTATATCATTTTACACTTGATTTATTTATTACTATCATTTATTTATTTATTTATTTTTGTAATATTTACTTCTTTTTTTCTTTACACTTTGTTTTTGAAAATAATAGTAATATTTTTTTATACTTGAAATATTTATTATTTTACACTTAGTCTATTTTGTACATTTATTTTTATTCTTATCTTCATTCTTGTGTACTTTTTATTTTTTCTTTGTATTTTTTTTAAATTATTATATAAAAACAAAGAAAAAAGTGTTTTATTGTAGCAATTACAACATCATCTTATTTTTATATTAAGTTAAAAATTAGTTTAAAGCCTCACATGTTTTTATTGACATACATATATATATATATATATATATATTTATATTTTATTATATTTAAGTATCAATCTTTTAGTTCACAACTATATTTTTTTATCTTATGTCAAAAAACACATTAATAACTCTTAAACATTAATTTTTTTATACTAGAAAAAAATTATTTGACATACAATGAGGCAAATCAAATAAACAAGCTAATATTTTTTTTTATTGATATATATAATTCTTGATTTATTTAATAAAATACATATATAGGCTTTATATTTTATGCTTAAGAATTTTTTTATAAAAAATATATTTTTAAAACTTGTATATTTGTTTTTTTTTAAAAAAAAATTATAACGCTATTCAATTAACTAGATACGTACGGAAGTCATTAATTAGCACCTCAATTAAAATTATTTAGTTCCTCACGGACACTATTTCTCACTCTAAACTCTCTTTTTTGTTCATTTTATTTCTTGAAATAATTTCAAACCTGGTCGCTATACAACTATTTGTTTGAAAGTGAATATCAGGATACATATTTTTTATTGTAGCATAAATATTGCCGAATGGAACGTTGGAAAAGAAGAGCACCGATAGGCCCTCTCTATCTCAATATATGCGAAAACAAAGGACACATGTAAAGACATAAACATGCACAAGCCAAGTGTTAAAATTAAAGTTTTAATTAAATTAGCTAATAATATTTATCATTAAATCAATCTATTATCAACATTAGAGTTTACACGGTAATTAATTACAGCGTTATAGCTTGTATAAAAGATGATGAGTTACTAGAAATACACTTCTTTTTTATTTTGACTCTCTACTAGCTGATTGATTGTGCACACGGACGTCTGAATATCTCTTCAAATTATGGGATTTTCCAATTTTGGTGTTTTTATTCCTGTGTTAATTTACGATTCTAAATTAAAAATGAAAAAAAAATCTTTTCTTAACCCGTAACACCACGTATTTTTCATTATTTTTTGGGTATAAAATCTCCTCCATGTGCTTGAGTGCCCATATATGCCAAATAAGCCCTTTTCTCCATGTTGGTGTAATTCAAATTAGTTTAGATTTGAGATGTCTTTTTTTATCTCTTTTTATCAATGAAAATATTTACTTTTAGCGACCTAAAAAAAAAGAAAAAAAAGGCTTGTACCTTCAAGTGATATTTACAAAATTTTAATTGTAGAACTAAGACCAACCATTCAAACTCGGGAGAAAGTTAGCTATATGTTAACACTTTTATAGGAAACAAAGAGTTTTTAAACAGGCTAATAACATATCCAACATGAAAAATTGTGTTTAATTTTCATACCAATGGACATGTAGAGAAAACCTTCTGCATTTAAATCGAAGTCGAAGGTGATAGGTACTTTCATGAGCTTTTTATATAAATGTAGATATACTTCCTTGTGGGAGGTTGCTAATGGGGTGGGGTGCAATTTTGAAGTATCACAAGTATTTAGTAATATTATGAAAGTTCTTGATTTTTCAGGGGAGGTTTAGTAATAATCTCAAAGGGGCCAGCATGAATCAATGCTTGAAATCTTGGGATTAAAATGATCTTCTGAAAAACTGGCTTGCGATAGCTCCTCACCCACTTTGTCGACGCAGACACATAAAAAAGAGTTTTCTCCCCTCTCCCGTCCCTCGATCAATGCCTCTCTGTATGCATATGCTAGAAAAATAAAAAAATAAAAATCACAGTGAGGTGATATATAAAAAAAAGTCATGGAAAATTCTCCCAACACACGTGGCAGCAGCATACTCCCACCAAACAGAAAGAAGGGACGGCGAAATCTGTAAGAAGAAAATATATAGACAGGGGAAGGCATTATTGTCAATGGTTTTCCGTTTGACTTTGTTTGGTATTACAAATTTTTGGTAGCTTAATTTAAAATTTTTAATTGTGATTAATTTAGTTTTGTAGTTGTTTGGTTAAAATTATGGTTGAAATTGAGTTTGAATAAAAAATAATTTTATATATTTGGTAACTATTTGGAAAAGTTTTTATATCATTTTCGTGTGCTAATATTAAAAATAATTTAAACAATAAAAATAAAATCTCATTTTGATGCATTTTTAAGTAAAAAATACTTTAAACTGTTATCGCTATTATAATTCTAAACAGACAAGCTTTTTAAATTGAGGTTATAAAATAACTAAAATAAACATATATTAATATTGATGGTTTTTAACTGAAATATTGTATATTTAACTACTACTATTACATCATGAAATAAACAATACTTTATATAAAATATTTTTTATTATTTCATTAAACTATCTGTAATTACATCTGCAATCCTCCACTTCTATTTCCATACTCTAAAGAAACATTTTATCATATTATGTAGTGATGAGTGTGCATGATTAAAAACTTCTTGTTAATTTATTGATTGTCCACAATGCCTAAATTCTTTTAAATGATATCTCTCACTTTTATATGAACCTAAATACCTATAATTATTGGAATATCTAAAATCAACCAGACAATACTTACCTATAATTACAAATAATATTCAAATTTGTCAAAGGATTAATAAGAATATCACAAATTATTGTACTTATAATTATATAACAAGTTCTATTGTATAACTACCTTATGGTGGTTTAGGAAATTTTATATTTTTATTGTCAATAGCCTCAAGAAAAATATGTATATCATGAGCACTGCTTTCCCATCCTACCCACACAAATGAGAACTGCATGTTAAAACTATAAGAAGCCATGATGTTTTGAGTTGGTATACCTTTTTTTTTTTTTATAAATGGAATTTGATTTTTAGTTGATAGGCAAGTTCGCACTTGTGTTCCAACAATTGCACGAATACAATTCTACATGAAAATCATTGATAATAGAATGTCATTACTTACTAACATGCAAAAAACAATTTAGCTTCACATTAACAAACATTTGTCTTACTTTGAAATGATGCATATATCTTAGATTCATTGTAATTTCTCGTGGAGTGCTTGTAAAATTCGAGTCCTCTGGTTTTATGATATCTACTGCAAACAAATATACTGCTGCTATAACTTATTTAATGTCTACTAAAAGTTTCTCCTGAATGTTGAAATTGCTCTTAAACCTTCCTATTTGATGCTCTATATAGATGTCCATTTCTGATGTGAGATATCACAATTCCCCCACCTTAAAACTAGCCATCCTCCACTCTAATAAAAAAATATAATAGCCTACCCCTAACCTGTCGTATATTATCTACTTCGAGCCTTACCATCTTCACGATTTTGTTCATGGTGACATGAGCCTACTTTTGAGCCTTGTACCCCAAAACACGTATAATAGGTCATCGACCAACACTACTTATAAAGCCTTAGCTCTAGAAGCTCGCTTCTGATATGGGATATCACACTCCAAGTGCTATTATATATAGAAATACAATCACTTTTATAATCACACTCACATCCTTTTCGAAGGTTTTAACCCTACTTTGTTTCTAAATCACTACACAGGCTCAACAAAGTTAATGTGTCCATTCTAAACATGTTCACACATCGTTTTCAATGTTCTTATAAAATTTTTGTTAACCAACGCATGCCTGTGTTGTATGAAACCTCACACTATTCTCTATGTATATAATTAATATAATACATGTTTATTGCCCTAACTGTATACATAACTAACTTTTTCATATCAAATTCTTGCCTTCAAAATGATTCATCATTCTCATTACTATCATCATCGTCGTCGTTGTCATTGTCATCGTCATCATTTGCCCTATCATCACCATCCCCTCATGAGCTACCATTGTCATCATTACCACGATAATTAATGTGATCAATAACATACTTTATTATGTTTTCATAATCATCATCCAGATCTTCATTGAATGTTGAATTAAAACACACATCTTCCATATGTATAATGCTATTTAGATAAACATATGAATAATGTTAAACATTAGTTATTTGATTTTTTTGGAAAGTATGTTTTATATAGTATTTTTTACAATATTTTTAATTTTTTTTTTTTTACTGGGTCGAACCTGGTTCAAAACATGTAGGCTTGGGTTGGACCCGATCAATCCCTTGTAAAATTTGTAATCAGTCTCTATAATTCATGTGAACAATAGAGACCGACTCCAAATATAGCAGAAAAGAAAAGGAAGAAGGAGAAGAGCAAGATACCCTATGTGGCAATGTCTGGCTAGTGGTCGCAACGGTGAAGGCCAATGGTTAACTAAGGGAATTGCTTGGCCGATGAACAATGATTCTTCCTATTTGTCCTCTATTTCTGCTCTTCTTCCTTCTTTCTTTCTTTGTTATTATCTATTTTTATTTCAAACAGTTTTCTCCCCTCTGATGGTCCTGCTGCTGTTATGGACAGTGACGCAAGGTGGTTCTTGTGGTGTTGAGGAGAAAGGTATGTGGTGGTGTCCCATTTGTTTCCTGTGTTTATTTTTATTGTTACTTTCTTTTTCATTCCTGTTTCGTCGCACAACCTTACTCTCTATTTTGCGAATCAAATGTTGTTTTGTTCTTCTTTTTATTCCACCCTTTTGGTTTGGGTTAGTGAGAGAAAGGTATGTAGTGGTGCCTTTTTTTTTCCCGTGCTTGCCTCTGTTATTCCTTTCCTTTTTGTTTCTATTTCATCGCGAAACCTTACTCTTTGTTTTGCAAATCAAATGTTGTTTTGTCCTTTTTCTTTTTTTTCCCCTCTTTATTTTCCTGTGTTTGCCTATGTTATTCCTTTCTCTTTCATTTCTGTTTTGTGTCCCAACCTGACGCTCTGTTTTGTAGATGAAATTTTGTTTTTTCCTTCTTTTGTTTTCACCCTTTCTAGTTCGTCTCTTCTCTTTATTCCTCATATGTTTTTCTTGTGCAACTTGCATACAACATCTGAAAAGTTATATTGCAGTAAACCATGTGAAAATATATTTGCAATTTGAAAAGATCTACTGCAATGTATCTTGTCTCCATGTAAAAATATTTTTCTCCCCTCTGATGCGTTCAACGTGGGAAAAGTTCTATTATAATGTACCATGTAAGAAATATACTATAATGTATTCTGGCACCGTGTAAAAAGTTTGCCTATCCCTTCAATTTACAACATCACTTCAATTTACACCATTTATTACTTGTTACATGAGAGATCCGTATGCTTTTGATTTTTACTCTTGTAAGTGATATATGATTGGTAAGTTTGTTTAGTATGACATAACTATTTTGTATGTTCTTTCCATTTTCTTCTAGTTAATTACACTCGTATCTAGTTTACATCTATTTTCTTATGGCAAGGACACAATTTAAATGAAATTGTGCAAATATCAAAATATCCTTAGCAGTTGAATTTACAAGTGAAATTTATTCTATCAAATAAAACTATACTTATTGTCTGCATCATCAACTAGTGGCATTTAGACACATATTTATTTTGTCCATTAAAACTACTAGCATTGTCCACATCTTTATTTTATCCATTAAAACTACTAGCATTGTCCACATCATCAACTAAACTTATTAAAATTAATTAGTATTTTCTCAAAATTACATAACAAGATTGCAATTCATCTTACCTAGTAATTACTAGACAACACTACAGTTTTTAATTACATTAATATATAATCCATAACATGAACATAATAAATATTAATGCTCTATGACCTAACTGATTGCAGCATCATTTCTTTATAATGTTAATTGTTTAATTTATGGAGCGTCCAGAATCGACATAAAGGAATTTATTACTCCATATCTTCCTGAAAAATCTATCACTTTATTAATCTGCAAATTTATATAAATGACAAGAAAACTAAAAACATGTTAATTAACATTTTTAATAATATTACCAACAAATAAATGAAAGTATATATTTAGGATCAATATATAGCTCTTCGTCTAAGGTGCTTTACATCGTGTATATATTCTCTGCAACAATTTCATCTTGTTTTCAAGATTACCCAGAGTTGACCATATTTTTCTATTCCTTCTCAAACCTAAAAACTCAGTAGCAAACTCATAAAAATCATCACCGATAATAACTCCTTCAATTGAGTGAAGCTCACTCATAATTTTAGGAATACTACACCCTTTTCAATCTTTACAAATAGATGTTGAACCATTATTATTTGATATGTTGTTAACCATTTGATCCCAACATGACAGAAGTTGTAACCCAATTCCAGAATTTCTTTTCTTCTTCCTAGCTTGAACCTTAGAACGTTCTCTTTCTCTTCTCTTACCACTACTATGTGTGTTGCTATTTCTAGACATATTAACCCCTCTAATAATTTTACAAACATTATCGGCAAAATTTAGAATTTAATCATCTTTCAAATCACCGCTTTCTTCTTCCAAATCAGGTTGTTCAACATTGGTATTTTGATTGCCATCAACACCAACATTATTATCACATAAGACTTCGGACGATGATGTCCACACATACTCGTTAGCAGCAACAAAGTCTGAGAACATTCTGTTGAACTTCATATGTAACAACAGTTTGATACTAGATTACCTAAACTTTTTTGCTCATTTTATTTCCTACACAAAACAAATAAGATTATTTCATGCAACTTTGCCTAATTTATTAATAACTAAACTAAGAATAAAACAAATTGATGATTAAGGATTGCGATAAATAACCTGAATTTTTTATTTCCACCACTCATCACTACCAAAAATGGTTCCCAATTCATTACTCTAGTCCACGCTAGTTTCAAAAATGAGTTTGGTCCATATCCTTCCATCCTTTTTGCAGCCATCCTATTTGTTCTTCAGTTGTGCTTTTGTAAATGAATAACCAGTTTATTATTTGAATGATGTTAATAAATGTTTCTAACTAGTTTTGTCAAAATAAGTATTTGGTCTTATTTCCATATCAATAGCTGATACGATCAAAAAATTGATATCTTCTTCAAATTGCAAGAGTGTGAAGTAATAAATAACTCGGCAAGACTGGGATGAAACCATATGGAGATTAATTATATAAATTATACAACAACAACAACAACAGTAGTAGAAGTAGTAGTAGTAAGTTAAAAAGGACTTTGAGATTGTAAAATTAATGTGAGGATTAAATAATGATAAAAAAATATCAAGGTTAGAGAATCTACTAATGATATTTCAAACAAGAATAGTATAAACTCTTTTTATTACTCAATTAGAAACCACACACAAAAGAGGTTCCAATTC